TTTTTTTTAAACCCGATTTATTCAAAATGATTTACATGCAAAAAAGGGCTGTTTTAATTGATAATACCCCATATATTGAATTCGCTCCGCTTTAACCGACCCCCTTATTTGGTTCCACCAATAATTCCTTCGCCGATAATCATGTAAGACGAGATCAACTTGATTCTGTGTTTTACATTACACACCCCCCGTCCCGAAGAGGGGGAAGGAGGAGAATTTGTGATTTAGATAGTAAAATTTTAATTTCAAAAAAATTTTTTCTGAATTGTTTCGTGACTATTGCTAGTGGGAAGATGGTCAAACATTCACCACCAACGAAACAAGAGAAAAGCGACGGATTGTCGCTTGACTAAGGGATAAATCGCGTAATGTTACTCAATAGAAGGCAAAGGAGGTTACGATTTGTCGTGGTCTAAGTCGCTATTGAGGTACTTAAAGAGCGTTATAATTTTTTATTTGCACTTAGAGGATTTTTATTAATGAATTAAATGTGTAGGGGCAAATAGCACACACTTTGTCAAGAGGAATTCGACCTCTTATTTATAACAAATTTCAGAGAAGGGAAAAGAATGGAATCGAATTTTGTTATCTTTCTCTCTACCATTGAATATAAGCCATTTTACAATAACACTTTACCCCTTTACACAGCCTTAGCAATTTTCAATGAAAGAAGGCAAAAGAGATGTACGCCGTCATTTTACCATCAAATTTCCACCTCATTATCATTTTACCACTGCCTCACATTTATCCAAACAAGGTAAAATTGGAATATCGCTCGATTTTGGACGGTCATTGACAATTGAGTTAGTCGAAATCGACCTTCCCTTTTTAGATTCGATGGTGAAATTTCGCATTGGGGCTTGGTGCATGGTTTGCGATCTAATTGTTTCAATCGGAGGCTTAGTGCATGGTTTGCGTCTAATTGTTTCAATCGGGGGCTTGGTGCACATATTTCACAACGAATTCGGCAGGTCATTTTGCCACTAATACTATATAAAAATTTTCCGAAATAACCGTAGCCTTATATATATTTGTTTAAATTTTTTTACTATGGGGAGAAGGGGGAACGCTGGGGGAAGTATAATGTAAAACACAGAATCAAGTTGGTCTCACTAAAAGGCCCGTCAGTTATTTGATTTTTGTGCGATAAAAAACAATACAGGAACGTTAATACCGACGTTTGTACCAACGTTAATACAAATGTTTGTACAAACGATCGTACTAACGTTAGTACTAACGTTAGTACTAACATTAGTACTAACGTTAATACTAAAGTTCGACTAACGTTAATACTACTAACGTTAATACTAACATTCGTACCCAAAAGTCAGGTTGGTCATTTTATGATGAATTCAGAAGGAAATTTTCAAGAAAACAACCTTTCTAGTCAAAATTTTTGACAAGAAAAAAAAAGCAATTATTCAGGTTTTTAAAGCTTTTATTTATTTTACAGTACTTTTTTTAAAGTTTTCATTTTTTTATAATATACTTTACAATTTTTTTCATTAAATTATTATCTAATTAACGATATATGAATGTTAATACTAACGATCGTACTAACGTTAATACATTAATGCGAAGAAATACCCGAATAAATGACAAAGCATCGAAGAAGCAATGACAAAATGCTCAAAGAAAACGCGAAAGAGTGCCAAAAGAACGACGAAAAAATCACACAAAAAAACCAATAGCGAAAGAAGCACCAAAAGGACGACGAAAAAACAAACCAAAAAAAAATATAATAGCTAAAAAAGGATGCTGAAAGGAGCGCCAAAAGAACGACGAAAAAGGCACCAAAAAGAGCATCAAAAGGATGATGAAAAAAAAGGCACCAGAAGGACTACGAAAAAGGCACACTAAAAGGACGACAAAAAACTTAAAAAAGCGATTAAAAGAAGCTCAAGAAAACGCACTAAAAAGAATCGGTAACGATAACGAATAAATCATACAAATCACGCAATCGCGCGTTATTATAAAGGTCAAATCGTTGACGGTCCTCTCACAATATACCGCACTACTTGAATGTGTGCCAGGTTTGTGGCGCAACAAAGATTCTTTAAAGCCATAATTTTAGAATCGGGGTTAGGGTTATGGATTAGAGGAGATAATTTGTATAGTAAAATTGCCCAACGAAAACTTTTTGTTAGAACGCCAAAAATAGATTCTTATGTAAAATTTCGCGAAGTAGGCATTTTTGGCCAAACGAGCGAATTTTCTTGATCGTGTTACGCATAAGGCTAATTTTGATTGTGATCTAAATAGCAGAACCGATTAGGGGCCTGCAAATTAGAGTTGGTCACCGAAACCTTTTTTGCCAAATCCGAAAGTTTCGGGTTTCGGATTATAGTTTCCGAAACCTCAT